GGTTGGTGATGCACAAGCAACCTTTCATGAAACCATGCTGTGCGGACGTCAAGTGGCTTTTCGACTCGAGAAGTTGCAGAACATTCTTCTTAACGATCTTCTCGAGCGTCTTTGCCAAAACAGCGGTCAGGCAGATCGGCCGGTAGTTATCTACCTTGCTTGGGTTACCATTTTTCGGTGTTGGCTTTACGACTGAGCATTTCCAGTCGTCCGGTAATATTCCAGTGGATAGTGACTTGTTGAATAGCTCAGTTACAGAAGGCGAGATGATGGCCGATCGGGACATGAGGATCAGTGGATTGATTCCATCCGGCCCGGCAGACATCGTCTGGTCAAGATCTGCTAAATGCTTGCGTACATCTTTAATGCTGCAATCCAGGCTGTCCAGTTCAGTAGGAGCGATACTTGTCGAACTCGTTACAGACACTTGGTCACTTACAAATACGGAGGCGAAGTGCGCCGCAATCAGACAAGTAATGAACAGTTGTGCATACTAGACTATATAGTACAGGACAATTTATTAGTGCGTAGCAAAAACCCAACAATGTTACCATTTATACTCAAACAAGAAATGCACAAATCTATGGTTAATACATCATTGTAGCTCCATAAGCGTCTTCAAATCTTTGACTACGTTAGCTGAGTAATATAATGGTGTATACATCCAGTCAGGATATGACGCGGACTGCTCACCAACATCTTCCACAAAAATTGCAGACACCGTCCGTCGTCTGAAGCCGAAGATAGCTCCTAGAGCGAACGCGATTCCAAAGGAAATATGTAAATCTTATATACCAGCTCTCCTTGACCATTTACACGGGCTCTTCTACTTGATATCGGAGAGCGAAATCTGTCCCTCCTCGTGGAGTACCTCAGTACTACTGCCACTTCCCAAGCATGGTGACCGAACTGCTTGTAGTAATTATCGAGGTACTTGCCTAATCAATGTGGCTGCCGAAACCTTTGCATGAATCTTGCTTTCCCGCTTTGCCAATGAGAGGAACGCGCGAACACGCTATAACCAAGGTGGCTTTTATCCAAGCAGAAGCTGTACTGACCAACTCTTCACTCTACGTCGGGTACTCGAACACCGCTACCAGTTCCAGCAGCTCATGTTAGTGTGCTTCGTTGCTTTTCATGCTGCCAATGACTCAGTTCACCGTGAGGCACTCTGGAGAATCCTACATGCCGATGGTGTGCCGGTTAAACTCGTTAACTTGATGACATCATACTACCATTGCACGAAGCCAAGAATTCGGGTCTATGGAAAAGAAACAGAGGTATTCGACATCAATACTAGAGTTCGGCAGGGTTACCCACTTTCTCCAGTGCTCTCCAACTTCATAGCCCACTGGGTTCTGCATCATGCCCTTGAGGGCTATCATAGTGTACAAGGTAGCCCTGACGTCTTGCTGTCAGACCTAGCATTTGCTGACGATATCGCTATCCTTGCAGAAGATCCTATATCACTATAGTATGTATTTAATCTCAACAGTCTAGCAACTAGACATAGAGCCAACAAAGCCATGGAGATTAGAAGATAAGGGGAAGTCACTGTGTCATAATCATCGTGGCATGGTAGTTGAAAGTGAGGGACACACTTCAGCTAATATGCCGCAGGAAGAATGGAACATTTTGACAAAAGTAGAACAAAACATTTTTAGTTTGTTTTTCAAACGCCGATTTTTCTCTTTTTGTGCCATTTTCAATGTTGGTAGTATTAAACATGTGAATCAGTATAATACTGTACACAGTTCTTCTACTGATTCCGGTTGCTGGCCTTGTCTTCAAGAGTGCTGAGCCAGTTGCACTCTTCATCTTTGGGTCCCCATCCTGGAAGACGTACGGATCCAACAGCGGCTAGACACGACGTCAGCGATTTCATGTGTTGCCGCCGAGTGGAAGGCTGATCACCACGCGGTCGCTTCCAGCCAGGTCCTTGACGAGCGAATAGAGCGCGACGCGGTAGACGCTCAGGCGCCATGCGTAGGACATGACCGAGCCATCTTAACTGGCGCAACAAAACCAGTTTGTTGAAGGGAGTACTTGCATTCCCCAAGATGCGATATCGAACGTCATTACTATTAACTCGATGATGCCACCAAACACGAGCGATCCTCTTTAAGCAACCGTTATCGAACGCAGAAGGACGACGCATGTCTCCCACGCGAATCGGCCAGGACTCACACCCATACAGCAAAACTGAGCGAACTGATGCGCTGTAAACGCGGCTCTTTAGTGAGAATGAGACGTCACGACGACGCCAGAATTGCCTCAGGTTGACACATGCTGATCGAGGTTTAGCGATACGAAGGGAAACTTCTTTGTTTATAGTGCCGTCAGCAGAAACACAGCTCCCAAGGTAGATGAAACTATCTACCTGTTCGAGTTGTGCACCTTCGAGAGTGAGCACGGGAGCAGGTGAAAGCCAATCCTTCAGCTGTACTTTGCACTTTGATGGGGTGAAGCTCATACTATACTTAGATGCTTCAACCGCCAAACGATCCAGAATGAGTTGCATACCCTGAGGCTCATCACCATTTAAGGCGATATCATCAGCATAATCTAAGTCGGTCGCACGCTCACTCGGTAGTAGCTCTAGACCAAAATGTTGGAAGCTTTCTAGAGCATTCCACAGAACGTCTTCGATTGCGAAGTTGAAGAGGAATGGGGACATAGGGCAGCCCTGTCGCACACCGCTATTGACAGCGAATTGCGAGGAAAGCTTGCCATAGACCCTCACTCTGCCGGATGTATGAAGGTAAAGCGCTCGTAATATGGCGGTCTATTTCGCCGGCACCCCATTCTTTTGAAAGGAACGCCATAAAGTAGGTCGATCAACGGAGTCAAAAGCGTATGTCTAGGAATGCAACGATAGTTGGCCTGTGATAAATGAGGCGATGTTCGAGGAGCTGGCGGAGCGTGAAGATTTGATCCACGCATCCGCGGCCAGGACGAAAACCAGCTTGTTCTTCACGGTAGTATGATTCACGTACTGGGGATAGCCTGCGAAGCAGAATGGATGCCAATAGCTTAGAGGTAACCGAACTAAGACTAATCCCGCGATGATTTGCACACGAAGTACGAGCGCCTTTCCTGGAAATCGCGACAATAACTGATTCACCCTAAGACGAAGGCACTTCCTTTTCATGTGAGATCCATCGCAACCAGTTTCCAAATCAGATAGTCGTCCACATGCCCGAAAAAGCACTAGACTGCAGTTTCAGCCTGTTGGGCATCGTCAGTAGTGCGCATCCATCGGCTCCGTCAGGATTCGAACCCATGACCTCCAGCGGCTTGAACGGCCAGTCAGCAGCTTATGCCACTGGGCCACGGGGGACAGCTGCGGACCGTCATGATTTACAAGCTAACTGTGATATAGCGCGTCTTATCTTCCACTGCCATGCAAGTTACGAACTTTGCAGAGGACAGGGTTGGCCCCGAAAGACACGACGTACATTAACAGTAGCTGCTGACCGGCGGTTCAAGACGCTGGTGGTCATGTGTTCGAATCCTGACAGATCCGATGGATGCGCACTACTGACGATGCCCAACAAGCTGAAACTGCAGTCTAGTGCTTTTCCGGGCATGTGGACGACTATCTGATTTGGAAACTGGCTGCGATGGACCTCACATAATTACATCAAAATCCCCTGCTCATGAGTATTTCCTCTTCATGCCAAATTTTTGCGAATAGCGCGGTTAGCTGGTTAATGATCGCCACACCGCCGTACTTGAATAGTTCCGGAGGAAGTCCGTCTAAGCCGGCAGCCTTGAAGCACTTCAAGCGTCGAAACTCAAGGCAGACTTCCGCTTCGCTGGGTGGATTCAGTGGGATGAGCCAGGGTGGACAACAAGGTGTACTGCATGTACTGATGGATGATGGAGGCCAGTTGAACTGCGAGTGAAAGTGTTCGGCCCAGTGGTCCATACGCCTCTGTTGGTTGTTGATCGCAGACTCATCCATTTCACAAATGACCTCACTGACACCAGGCCTCCTGAGGCCAGTGGACCGAATGAGTTGGAAAAGCCTGCGAGTGTTGCCAGAGAGAGCAGCGGTCTCAATCTCTAAAGCAATCTCAGACCGCCATGTCTCGCGATGCTTGCGTAGGCCTTGCTTGAGCAGCCGGTTGGCAGAACGGCGCCGCTCGTTTCAATCTGATTTCGCCGGGATATCATTGCGGTGTTCGGAAAGCTCCAGAGAACAAGCAGAGATCCAAGACTTCAAGGGGCATGGGATTAGGCCGCAGCATGACTGTCCGGAAATGGTCATTGCCTTCCGTATACAAGCCCAGTGTGTTCCACTCCTTGCGGTGGATTGCAACTGAGTGCATTTGCTAGTGAAGACCTATAGCTCGCCTTGACAGAGCAATCAGTTAATCTGTTTACATCAATCTTGCGGTGTCTCATGTTTCGGGATCCTCCAAAACACATACAGATTTTTGCGTCGACCAGAGCATGATCTGAGTCAACGAAAGTGGGCCAAAAGGACCTGCAGTAAAGTACACTGCTAAATCGGGTCGACCAATCAGCCTCTGTGATCGGCCTCGAAATTAACATCAGCAAGACGAAGTATTTCTCATCGTCGTCCGCCCAGTCCACCCGTCTCTCTCCTTACATGGATAATTCATCGAGTATGTTCCTGAATTCAAGTGTCTTGGATCCACTATTCTCCCCAAAGTTCACGCTACATCCGAAATCCGGAATGGTATTGACGGCGCTAGAACAGCTTTCTTAAAATGGAGGAACACGTTGTGGCGAAGGACGGAAATCAGTCCGAGAACGAAAATTCGAGTATTCCTAGCAACCATTCGTGCCACTTTACTTTATGGTTGCGACACATGACTGCTCGCTTTAAACGTGACTACGGCTATGATCTCGATTGGAGCACCAGAGCAGGTTGCAGTCGTATTGTGTGTTAATAAAATAAGCTGAGGAATTTGCTGTGTGTTATGCAAAAAACAATTATCAAATTCATGAAATCGTTACATAGTGTTAATTTAGCAAACTCTATCAAATTGTTCGTTAACTATAACCATAAACATTACGCAAGCCTCCGTTTGACCATTTTGTTCAAATGTCCATTCTAATAATTGAGCTCCCTGAAAAAAAACAAAATATCACCATATAACTATGATCACAAAATAATTTTATTGTAATTGTTCTTAGCTTATTTCTAACAAACCAATATTTAGTTACGTTTTAGGTAGATGTTGTTTTCTTTTAAATAGTGCTAAAAAGTTGTTAAAGTTAGCTTTGGTTTATGAGGAAGTTTGGCTTTGTCTGTATATCTACACACTATCAATATATTGCTTGTTACTCGGTTATTTTACATATGAATGCTGCAACTTTCTCATTATGCTTTTCTGTTCTATGATGATGAAATTATGTTCTTACCACACTTACTCCAATACTATTCACATTACTCGATCACGATATTCGAACGACTTTAGGCAGCTGGCGGTTAAAGAACTGATGGTGTCACTTACGGGAGCGCTGTCAGGGAACACTGGTATCAAATGTGACCATGTGTTATAACTTCCATTTCCCTCGAATTCACAATGTGAGAGCACTTTGTTGTAGCACCAAGTGTCTGAATCAAAAATAACATATCTGTTTCCAGTTTGAAGTTCTACTGCTGTTAAGTAGATGGTGCCGAGACTGATATTGTATCCTGTTAGAAAAGGCATAATTGAAGTGCATCGTCATCAGCGTGTATACAAGCGTCATTTTGATCAGCAAATAGTAAAGCACAGCTTGCTCACGTGAATCAATATCTACCCATATTTTGGAAAAGTGTCCTCTATATAGTTGGCACGGTGAACCCCCGCAATTTTCAACCCGGATTTTCGAAATCACGTTGTTAGAAGTATCTGGGGAGACAAGAATGGCAACATAATTATGCTTCTTATATACATATCAAGTAGAATATATGAAAGAATGCCGACGGCATATAACGCTGGCTTACTACAGTAAAAGAAGGGGACTTCGGATTGTCCTATTACAACTAGAAGAAGAACCATAAATGTTAAAATAATCAATGACATATTAAGCGGATTTTAGTTGCTTTTAGCGTATCGCATTACTACCACTTATATAGTTGCCCCATACGGAAAATCAATGCAAATACAATTGAAGTGAAAATTTCTCAATACTGAGGACCTACTGGTATGTAAATCGCATGAGTTAACTAAATCTCGTTCCGCTATCTAACTTCACAAATTGAATTATGGTCAGCCGAATGTTAATTGATTCCGCCGCAGCCAACTCGCATTGTTTTACTTAAAAGCATCCCCGCTAAATTCTTTCCTGTCGCGTTAAGGTTAGCGGATATTTTGCTTGATTACAAGTCGATCATCCGATGTTCAAGTTGGTCGTCTAGAAAGTATTTAGCTTGGATGCAAAATTAGTAACTAATGCTCGTTTTAGTAGCAAAGTAGGATTTATATGTCAGATCAGTAATTAAACTGCGTTAATCTTATTCGCATTATAATTGCCATCAACGATATGTGAACACGAAGCACAGCGTGAAATTATACTGAGCCAATTATCTGGAAAAATAACTATTTGCTTGATAATAGGTTTAAGCCAAAGAGAACTGTGAACTTTTAGCCCAAATGGATTAGCTGGTTAAGAAATTAACAGCCTTTTATCGATCTCCACACCTACTTCCTTACAGAAAGTTTCACAAATACAAATAAATTACAATTACATGTTACACAAGTACAATTTACATAATTTCCTTATGAAAAGCTTGGCGTTTTCACTTCACACAAAGAACTTAGCGTTGACTCTTCAAGATCACATATTTCACCAATGGAAGACTGCAGATAAACAAACTGGTCCAGTGTCGTTTCCGTAAAATGCCGCACGTCTTCCATTATCCACCTTCCCTTGCTAGTTTTGCAAACCTAGGCCGTGTGTTTAGTAAGGGTTACTGGTGCACAGTTCCCCCATCCTGTCTCGTGCGATTACATGGTCTAGGCTAAGTAAAGTGTTTTCAGCTGGATTGGAATTAAGTTTCTAATTATTACAAATCAATCATTTTCTTAAAAGCAGACTGCAACTTCTTAAACGAAAACACAGATAAACGCAAATTGATTCCATCGGCAGCTGGCCACTGGCTGTTAATGAAGCAACTACGACCGCATTGTCATATTTATTGTTCGTTTCTAATTATACTTATATATTTAGTTAAATGACAATTCTAAATTTAAACTCAGGTTCTGTATCTGCTTTAATACACTAGCTTCCCGATGGTTCAACTGCTCATTTGTGTACCCGTAAATTACTTCAAAAACTAGGCATTCGACGAACAAATTTGATCGAAAGAGTTCGTCTGAGGTTTTTTATGGCATGCAATTGAAATGTTGAACATATTCTTGAGCAGTCCTTGGTTTCAGAACAATTTGAGGAACAACTTTGAAACTGCAAGGACCTTACTGATGCATGAACCACAACGTGTGTACCGCGCTTTACTGCAACAGCAAAAATACAAATCTGAGAGGTTACACAATGCAATTCGCAGAACAGTATCGAAGTTTGGAGTAAGACCAAATTTTTTTCCATCCGTGTATGCAACTTCTGGCATGTTCTCCTTGCATTGGACATCTCTGCATCGATACCAACAATATTAAGATGGCGGCTAGATGATGCACTAATCCACTTACACTTTGCTACATAAAACTAGGTTGCCATCCTATGCTTTGAATATACCTAGCTTTTTGTGCTGTTACTCCTGAATGCTATGGAACTACGCGGAATGCAGCACCACAGAGCAGCAAACGGTAAGCCTGCTCAAAATCCACTATCTCGTCCATACTGGCTCTAGGAGACAGTTGGTCGTTGCTGGTGGGGACGCGGTGCACCGTCCTCGTGACGGCGCTAGGTTCAAAGATTGGTTCCATCCTGTGTGGAACGGGCTACTGTCCAGCAACCGCCATGGGTACGTCTGGTGTGCATAATTTCCAATTAGACCGGAATGCTTCTGTTCTGCTAGTTGAAGGAGTGTGGACCGGCTCCGTTGATGAAACGTGGTTCCCATCCGCATGCCTCCCGGTCTTATTCCTTTGGGTTTACCCTAGATATAAGGTGCGATTTGATCCACACCAGTCTGGAAGTCAGAAGCGGCTCACAAACTGGGATCAGTAAAATGATTACTAATGCAGGTGGAACCTCTCTTTTACATCCAGCGATTAGACTGCTGGCATTAAGGATGCGTCCTTCGCATCACTCGACAACGAAACACCACCTTGCTACAAAAAATGCCACATCGCGAAACGTCACATCATTACCAAAGGCAGCAAGGCAGGACCGATATATATTGGAGGCGCACGAAGTTCACTCGGGCAGTTCAGGTAAATACGGAAACCAGTTAAACGATATTCTCCAATTTTTTGAATTACTTGCAGCTTGTTGTAAATGATTTTTAGCGGGTTTCGCGTACGATAACCCAGCTATTGACAACTACTACAGGCAGCCAAGTACGTGTCCAATTTTGTACGTGGTGACATCCATTGCTGCCGACGTGCAAGCTAAGCTGGTGCATGCTTTCATCAGAAAACAGCAAGATCCTGAAGACTTGATGGACGATGGCAATGGATCCACAATGCATGCTTGCAATGCATTTCTAGGGTTCGCAACGGCCCAGTACGCAGACAACGCCTATAATTAAGCGCAAGCGTTTGTCATATTAAGGGCGGTTTTAAGCAGCTACTTCTTAACTTGGTGCCGAACCACCTGATCAGCAGTGTTCTACCTGTGTTATCGACTGACAGAGGTGACATCTGAATATCTTGCAATGTTAGTCTCCTTTGAATGGCATCGTTATTGAACACTTTTCTCTTACGAACGTCAGGCACTCGTTCTTTCCCGGTTTTCGCGTTTCCCGATTTGAGTGCTTTTATAGGAACTAATACGCACGTCCATTTTTGCCTACTGTAGAGCAGACGCGTTACAGCTCACATGTAATCGCTTCCTCTAAACTTAGCTAACTAGCCATCCCATAGATGGTACGAATCGGAGCTCGTTTTTAGTTCACTTAACACTCAGTGTCCGACAGAGGGTAATGTGCCATTTAGATTTCTTTTAAACGAACATCTAAAATTGGAAGGCGTTGCAAGATGCGCTTTCAACAATAAATTCGACTGCAGGGTAACCTTTGCTTAGTAATAGCATCAGTTGTTCTGCTCGCTCGACAGTGTGTACAACGACAAATGTATCATTCATGTAGAGCCTATATGGATGTAAGTAGTGCGTATTACAGCCTGATGACCTCCGTATGCCTTATATATATATATAATCAGCTAAGTTTATGCAAAAGGCTGACAAAAATACGCGAAACAGCGGCATTCAGATTATCTTGTCGAAATATTTTTTTTCTTTATTGCGCTTTTGACACTGACAGTTGTTCGGTGTGTAGTTCAGCCTACCGTACTCGAAATACTAGCAGTCTTCGTCGCGACTAGCAACCACTGTCTCTACCTTCAAAGCATCGACTTGATAGGCGAGAGGAGAGGTATTCACTGAACGCCAAACAGTATGAATTTTGTAGTGTCGTGGGTGAGTAAAGTGAAATAAGCCTGATCACCCGCCAAGTTGGCAGAGAACACTTCATGGTAAGCAGCGCTACAGCATATCCAAAAACCAGAACATCAGATAACCGAAACATAATTGATGTGCAATTAAACAGGGCAAATCAACATTCAAACAAACAAACAAAATCCAATTGACTACCGTTAGAAACAAGACGAAAAATCTATCCTTGTTCACAGTTTCCCCGAGCTCTGGACACTAAGCGAAGTAGAAGCCAAAGCGCCTGACTAAGATGAATGGCGCATTATTCGTGAGGTGCTCTCACTTGAAAATCTTATCGCTAATTCGATACCAAGATTACCGCTATCACTTAAGTATAAGAGTGTGGTCCCCGAATGATGAGATTGTCATTGCACTCCGAAATGATGGCAGAACATGTGATCAAATGTGGCACAGAAAGCGTAAAATGCTGCCATCCGAAATAAGTATAAAAGCGATAGGCACCGAATCACAGATAGAAAGTGCAACACTGAACAAGCAGCTTCACAATACAATAATGACACCGATTAGTTCAGCAAACTGACAGTACAGAAAACACTGACAGCTGAAGGAAGACAGGATTAACACCTATTGCTTGCACTGATAGCACCATACAACAACCTGAACTACCTCTAGGGCCTGTGTTATCTGTCCTACAAAAATACGACCGCAGCCGACAATACAAGTTGCACTTGCTTGTATACCAGTGTGCGAGGTCTTCTCATCAAGATAACCAAACGTCGTATTCGTCAGGTCTCCACGCCTCGGGACCTAGTTATGGTCACGGAAACGTGGCAGAACAAGGAGATCATGGATACTGAGATTGCACTACCCTGCATGACTTCCATACAAAACTATCGACATAGCAGAGTAGAGTGTGCTCCGGTATTTTTATCGCACTTGCTTGGTGCTATAATTGAAGACCCAGATACGGAATTCATCGATTAATTTTGGTATCGTATGCACCTAATACGTGGTGATGTGCGTTTGCTGGCGATTATTTACCGCCCTCCAATGTCCAGCTTGGAAATGGATCAGCGCCTAGCTTCTGTGCTGAAACAAGTACTGACAGGACCATACAGTCACATGCTTCTGGTGGGGGAATTCAACCTACACG